TCGGTAAGGAAAACAGCTCACTGCAGTTAGGTGATGGATTTGGCAATATGAACTACCGGTAATGAATTGAAATCGTGGGAAGACCTCATGGGCGAACTTCCCTCTAGCCAGTTGACGAAAGGAATAAAGGAAATATATGGCTGGCATTTTCTTGCAAATATCCTTTAACGGTTTCATCTTATCTGTAGGCCTACTATAGGAAAGTTGAATTCCATTAAAAACAGATTTCTCATAGTGACATACTGCTTTTCTAAAGCACGAACATTCTCCTTTATGTTATCTTGTTTAATAAAAAAATACCATGATAATCAAAGCAAAACTATGCAAAAACGACAGCATGTATCGCATTGTTGTTGCACTAGGTAAAAGTTTACTAAGTAGATATTTTTCTTGTAATTCAAAGAATAATAAGAATGAACATTGTAAAAAAATGATGAGGCAAATTATTTTAATGAACACGTATCTCTCAAGAATCAACCGCATCCTGGAATGCCCCCGTGGGAACGCCCTCCTGGTGGGGGTGGGGGGATCAGGCAAGCAGTCCCTCGCCCGCCTCGCCGCCTTCATCTCCGGGCTCGAGGTGTTCCAGATCACCCTCACCAAGGACTACAGCATCCAGGAGCTCAGAGTGAGAACTCGAGATCAGCTGTTACCATAAAGAAAAATTCTTCAGTGACTGTGATCTAATCAATTAAGTTTTCAGTGTTTGCCGCAAACATGCACGATGCAACGCGATACGTAAAACTTGTTCATACACCCAAACTATAAATAATTGCCTGAAAATTGCATATTTTCTTGCTATATGTTATTACACTTTGCATAGCAATAATAAAGAGGAGTTGATATAGAAAATGACCCTCCTTCTTTATCTGCAGAGCGACCTCGCTAACCTATACGTGCGTGCCGGACTGAAGAACCTGGGCACGGTGTTCCTCATGACCGACGCCCATGTCCCCGACGAGAAGTTCCTCGTGCTGATCAACGACCTCTTGGCCTCGGGGGAGATCCCTGACCTCTTCCCCGAGGACGAAGTGGAAAACATCGTGTCTTCAGTGAGGAACGAGGTAAGGGAAGGGAAGCGAGAAAGAAGGTCGTATCACTTCGGTAAGTCATTCCTGCAGTGAGAGAGAAGCGCTACATCTTGGTTCCTGGTTTCCCTTTTGTATAAGTTCATAGATATAGATTTGCTTTGTGTTATATATTGTGGTGAATTTACACGTTGTGTCAAATAGATATGGCAAGTCGACTGGACCCTGTGTTGCAATGATCTGTCTTATAAATATCATAAGCCATCGCTAACATATTTTTGTATTAGCATTCCTGTATATATTAACACACCTTTGAATTACTTATATTGGCAACGATGATTTTCTTATCAAATAGCTTTAGCACCTCCATATTTCTTGCATAATGTCACATCAATAGTATTATCTAAATCTACAACCTAAGTAATTATATAACGGTTAGTGCTCATTAGTTTCAAAGATCACATCAATATAATCCATCTATACCTATTAAAACAGATCCACCCTAAATTATCTAAAGGGAGTTTAACAAAATAGAAACAAAATTTGAAACTTTATGGCTTAAATACACCCCCTAACAAAATCGTAGCTTCGAAGTATACGAGTACTTAGTGCTATACTGCTCAATAGGTCTTACTGGCTGGGTATTTCTATTTGATACGGTACGCACATTAACTCCTTCTTTTCTCTAAATCTGTCCGTACATATTAAGAAGTTTCTTTTCTTAAAACAACAATAGGTTTAACAAAATCATCTGTGAGTAAATCTAAGCTTTATGATCATTAAATGAGATCTGTTCTATAACATAAATACATATCCTACACTAAGATAAGCAATAAAATAAGTCCAACATGAGATCTAACAAATACCATGTACACAAGAGCACATGCACAGCTTCATTCATAAAAAATACAGTACAGTGTAAATAGTAGGAAATACATGAAACGCAAACACCATCCCCGCATGTCCTGAGCAACGAGGCTTCAACCCGGGCTCAGACGCCTCAGCTTCTCGTAATGAAAGCGTCACATTACTGCTTTCTGCTGCACGTTGACCCAATAGCATTATATGCATATAAAACATTTATATATGTATTTGTATTTTCTCCCTCGTGACATTGTTTGTTTTTGATGAGGGCGATTTTTTCTTTTTTTTTTCTTTTTCTTTTTGATGAGCAACAAATTGCCATCGTTTCCCCAACAGTACCCAACACCGGCGCGGCCAACCATTACATCCTATTACTTCCAAAGTTCTCTCACGACTCCCTCTCTTCACTCTCCATCCCGTCCCGATGTATAGCGTCGATGCGGACGGGATGTGACTGCACGAGCACAATTTGCTTTTTCTCTTTTACGAACCAGAACAGATTTGCAAAGGCCACTCTCCTTTTTCAAGAACCTTTGTGGCCTTTCCTACATTTTATGATGGTTCTCACAGCAGAAATACATATCAGGACAATATTATACTGTAATTGT